CTTTTAAACTCCACAAATTCCAAGTTTTTATGAAATCATTTTCATCTCAAGTCTCTCAATATCACTTATATGCAGCAGTCTAGCATGTCAAAATCACATGTGCAGATCCAAATCTTCAAAACTGCCCTATAAATCAAAAATGTCAAATCTCACATGATTTTAGCACAACAAAATTTCCATTTGTGACCTCTCATTTCAAATGACCACAAGTTAGCGGTGCTTTGTGCACTACAAGCCCTCCAACCCCACCTCACATAGAAGTCAATCCTACTTCATTGCAACAACATCACCACAATCACATACATCAACAAGCTTGGCAGGAGAAATCTCATAATGAACAAGACAATGCAGAAAATTCTCACCTGGTGCAAGTGGCATGACATGCAACTGACCACTTGCCACCTGCTGGGACTTGACAATGACCAAGCCAACTGGCTGAGCCAGCTCTACCCCCAGCATGAGTGGAGTCTGGCCAATGACCTCTTCACCACGCTGGACTGCCATTGGGGTCCCCACTTGGTGGATTGGATGGTGTTGGCTGAGAATGCTTGCCTCCCCTGCTTCAACAGCCACTTCTTTGAAGTGGGAGCAGAGGCAGTGGACTCCCTCACCCAGTGTTGGCACAACAACAACAACTGGGTGGTTCCACCCATCATGCTGATCCCAAAGGTGGTTGCACTCATCCAACACCAGTGAGCAATGGCCACAATCATCATCCTGAGATGGGAGGGCAAGCAGTGGTTCTCTGACCTCATGGACCTCTGCATCAAAGCCCCTGTCTCCATCCCAAACCGCCAGTCCTCATTCAAGTGGTTTGGCAGCATCCCCCTGGAGCTGTTGTGCAATCCCATGTGGCATTGGATTGCCTGCAGGATCTCTGGTGCTTGTGCACTGAGGGGTGGTCTGCATGCACCTGTGGGATGCTAGACCTGGCGCTTGCCCCTGCAACCTGGCAGAGATACCACTCCTCCCTGATCCACTTCCACAACTTCTGTGAGCAGGAGGAGGTTGACTTTCCACCAGAACAGGAGGACACCATGGTGACCATCACCAACTTCATTGAATCCATGACTCATGCCCTCCAGCATCCCTCCACAACTATCAACATGCTGCTAGCAGTGATCAGCACCTTGTACAAACCACTCAACCTATTCCCAATGTGCAACCTGCTCATCAAACACCTACGCCATGCGTTGGTCCATGAGTGAACAAAACACCCCATCAACCACAGCAAGACATTTGACCTCTCAAACCTCACAACCCTCTTCCACCAATGGGGCACCAACACTCCACCCGCCAGGACCAGGGCCAAGCTCATCGCCCTCCTGTGCATCTTGGGCGTGCTGAGGGTATTGGTGGCCACTCCAAGAACTTGTGGTCATTTGAAATGAGAGGTCACAAATGACCATGGCATTTTTGTTGTGGTAAAATCATGTGAGATTGGACATTTTTGATATAGGGCAGTTTTGAAGATTTGGATCTGCATGTGTGATTTTGACATGCTAGACTGCTGCTTATAAGTGATATTGAGGGACTTGAGATGAAAATGATTTGATAAAAACTTGGAATGTGTGGAGTTAAAAGTGATTTTATCAGTGTGAGATGGAGCTTTGTTGTGGTGGAATTTTATCTTCAGGAATAGTGCTCCAATTCAGCCCAAATGATGTGAGGTTGACCATGAACTGGATGTGAGAGTAGCATGTGGGCCACTGATTATGGAATTGATGGAGGGTATGAAAGCAAAGGCAAGGTGCATTTTGAAGTTGTTCAGAGGATCACCAACACAAAACAAGCTAAGTTCAGATTTTCTGGATTGTCCACATGTGCACAATAAACTGTAAATTAAAACCATTTTTGTGTTGTCAAAACCATTTTATGAGGTTAAACAAAATCACTTTTCAAAATGACTGGACCTCTCATTTCAAATGACTGCAAGTATTCACAACAGCGTTCAAACCATTCCACAAGCTGGCCAACTACAACAAACACATGGGAGCGCTTGGGTACATACCCCACGCCCTCAAGGACAGCCTTGCCTACTTCAGAATCAAGAACAAGGCAGCACTCATACGCAAAATCACGCTACGCATAGCACAAGGCGCGCACGCCATTTGGATAAAGCGCTGCCAAGAGCTTATCAAAAATGCCGCGCAAGCCCCCCCACCCTACTCCCGCCCCACATCACCCCATCCCCCGCCCGACATCACCGCAACCAACACGTCTACCTCAAACCTCCCACAGTACCCCGGCCTCGTACACGGCGATGCGCCCCCCACCCCACCCCCTACCACCCCCCAACCACCATAGAGTCCAAACCCCACACGCACAGGACACCGTACCCAGGCGACGCGCTCCGAACACGCCTACCACGCGGATCGCACCTACCCCTTCCCCACCCACACCCAACGCCCCCCCTCCCCCCCTCCCCTCGCCCCCCTCCCCCACGCATACTAACGCCATCGTCAAGCCACCAGCCCCATCAAGACCAACCACGCATTGGGCGTCTCCCTCTAATCCATTCATGTCTTGCACTCTCTAACCGCCCCACCACCACCACCCCCCCACCCTCCCCTACACACGACGTACACAGAGCCTCAACCGCCAAACCCCCCCCCCACCCCACTACCGCCACTGAGCACCCCGACCTTCGACCACGGTAACAGCGAATGCACTACCCACCCTACCCCTCACCCCTGTTCACGGCCACGTAGCAGATCCGAGCCTAGCACACCCACCGATCGCCGCCCTACCCCTCCTACTATACGACGCATCCTTTACTCTATAAGGCACATCTGTGCCCACCCCACCAGACGTGAGGAGCACGCCATGGCGTCAGTCCTGCAATTGCGGGCTGCTCCTCGTCTACAAAAATAAAAATAAAATAAAAATAAAGACACCAGGAAGCTGGATGCGAGCGAGGACGTTGGGGGTTACGCAACGAACTAGCTTTGGCTCACTCCCGTTGCTCTCTGTTCACTGCGCACGTCCCACTTCGCATTTGCTGATCGCCCGCAAGTTCATTTCAACGAGAGCGGGCACCAGCCATCGATTAGGCCACTTAATCATCACGCCCAGGAACTCCACTACAGGCCTTTGGCACTGCAACATGTCCACCCCACAAAAGAAACAGG